GTGAAAGTATCTTTGTCCCTCACCTTTCTTCCTCCTCCTCCAGATGAAGAGTCCAGAGATGCAGACGACCAGGAGCAGCACTAAAACAACAACAACTCCAATGACAGCAAACTTCAGTGGAGGAGCTGAAACCACAACAGAACATTCACAGTTTCTGCACCACTGGAGCAGATCATATGAAGCAGACATTAAGGGGGGAAACACTTTAAAATGCAGTTCAGTCAAATGAACAGTAGTCGTGGTTTCTTTCAACACCTACATTTGCTCCACTACAGAGAGCTCAGAGCTCACATGCATGTGTGTTGTAGCAGTGTCACTGTGCTCCCACACATTATCACTGATTTTACTGTTCAGTGTCTGAGTCAAGTGTTAACATCCAGATAACTACATATGAACTGACAACACATGCTCTTGGGTACAAGGTCTGTAGCTGAAATTTAAGTCCAGCTTTAGTGGACACACAATCTCCATCACATCTGTTTGCACTCTTACCCCAGTTGGTCCTGATAAATGCTTTGTCCAGTTTGGTGACGACGTCCTCCTTCACTCCAGAGAGCTGAAACACACAGTCGTACCTGCTCCAGTCTTCAGGTTTCACTGATGAAATGTTCAGATCAACACTCATCTGGAAGGTCCCGTCGTTGTTGGGGAGGATCTCCCCGTGGTCCACGTCCTCATGAAGCTCCTCTCCATCTTTCCTCCAGAACATGTCGACTCTGTTTGGGTAGAAACCTGTAGCGTGGCAGCTGACTGGAGAGGAGGGGGTCTTCTGGAGGAGCGACACTGAGGGGAGGGGAGAAGGTGGGGAAGAAAGAGAGACAGTGGAGGTAGTGAGCAAGAGAGGGTGACGGGGTAGAGAAAGATGAGAAAAGACAAAAAGGAAAGGAAACAAGGGAAAAGAAATATGATACAATTCAATACAGAGAAGAGAAAATATGTTAGTTGAATATCTGTAGCAAAGCCTGTCACAGGGCTATTGCACCATGATGCCACCTCTCCATGTTTGTTAGGATTTCACTTCAAACCAAAGTGAAGGACCAACTCACAAAACTGCCATTGTCATTCTCTTTTGTCATTTCTCATTGACTTTTGGTGTTGTGCTTTGAAGATGGTCTCTGTTGTGTTGTAGTATGTGAGATCGATCATGGTCTCAAGTCTGAATCTTGTGTACACTTAAGCTTTTCCATATTTCTGGAAAGTTTTTATTGGGAATAGATTTAATAATGTCACTCCTATATAGTGTCATTAGTATCACTGAAACACTGGCAAGACAGTACAGTACTATCAAACCATCAAATTCAGTTTCACTGCACTGGTCTGGGATTTGGTTTTGACTTTGTCTCAGGCCCTCAGATCATGGTCTTGTCCTGGCCTTCATACACCCTGGTGTTGGTCTTGACTATGTCTGTGCAGATTCTCAGTCATCCAGGTCATAGTAAGCTAAAAATCAACTGGACTAGATTTCTAGGTTGAAGACGTTTCACCTCTCATCCAAGAGGCTTCATCAGTTCTTGACTACAACACTAACATGCTGGGTCCTTGCCTATCCATCTATTCAGATTTTGGGGAGAAGAAAGCATGTCATAAGCTACACCTAGCATGAATCTAGTGTTGCCTGCCTACATACCCCTCCATATTCCATCCAACTAAGTTTCTTCCATTCTACTCTTTCACATCTCTTCCACAAAAAGTGGCACAGTTAACAGAAAAACAGCTATTTACAATGCCATGTAAGATCCTCCACTGTGAGTCTGTTTAAACCCCATCTGACAGACATGCAAAGACCTCATGGCTGTTCTGAATCATGACTTAACCCAAGCTAATTCCACCATGTGATGCCACTGCATCCAGTCAATTCATTGTGTCTTTACCATCAGCTGGTACACAGTCTTTCCTGAGGGTCATCTAAAGAAGCACCTAAAGGGCTGATGAAGTCAACTAAAGGACAAGAACCAGCAGACTGGGAGTGTAGAAATGTTTGGACAGAGCTGGTCCAACTCAGCTAGGGCTGTCCAAACAGCCTCCACACAATAAAGGCTCTTTAAAGAGTCTGTTTTCATCTCTGCTTCTTCAGCAATGCCTACACTGTAAAAACATGTCAATACAATGATGGCAGAGAGGTCACATTCACCTTCTTATAATCAATTAGAAACATGATATAACAGGACAAAGACTTCCACACCAGGTCTATGGGCCCAGTGAGTAGATGAACTGCAGACAGAGAACACCGTCACTACTGGTCAAATAGAACAGACACTTCCCATCTCCCTCTTGAAAAAAAAAACAGAAAAAACAAACAAACAAAAGGTTTAAAAAGTTAGGAAACTTGCTCACACTGAAACTTACCACTCTCCACACAGGGAGTGTGTGTGGGAGGTGGGAGTAAAGACTAGAGAAATAGACAATGGAAAGGATTAAACAAAAACAGACAAGAATGAGACAAACAGGTGTGTGTAAATTGGAAAAGAATTATGTGGGTCTCACCATGTTGGTTCATATTCACAGTAAGGTAAATGTACATTAAAAACTGAATATTTTCATGTACATTGTTTTCAAAATATGAAACTATCAGGTCATGTGACTACCTGTTCTTAGCAGAGATGTCTTCCCATAGTCCAAATACAGCTTCAATCTTTCTGGGCAAATAACGGTGAGGAAGACATTAATGGATGTTAAATAACCTCTGCCTCTATCCCACATGTATTTGATGTCAACAGCCTTTCCTGAGTATTTCCATGTCTCTGTCTTCAGGTCAAATGATACAAAGTCTTCTCCATCATAACCATACTGATCATATCCATCCACCTGACCAGTCTCATTGTCCCACTGACAGCCGTAGATGTTCTGTAAAACGTGGACACCTGAGAGGGCAACAAAACTTAATGATCTCACAGAAATAATTGAAAAACTGTGGTCAGAGATCAGTCCCACTCAAAAACCTTTCAGAAGCTAATATCTCTGCACTGCTGGGTCACAGGGGGGCTTCGACAGCTCATCTCCACAAAAGACATGTTTTGGACAACAAAAATATCTGGAAAAAAAAAACCTTAGACTCTTGCTTTAAGTGGCCAAAGTTAAAAAAAAAAGCAACACAGCAAAAAACAAAATGTAAACCTATTTAATTTGCTATCAAACACAGTAAAGTCAAACATGATGAGCTGGAAACTATAGAAAAATAAATGTCAGCAGATGGCCAGTTTTGGGGTTTTCTAGTGTGCATGGACACATCCACAACAGTTACTTAAAATGTTACTGCATGTTTTTAGATAGGACTGTGTGTGTATATGTTAAGGTTTAGTCCCCCTCACCAGGAGGGTGAGGGAGAATTGCGGTAGGACTCAAGTGTGCTGACCCAGGTGCTAGTAGAAAGAAGGAGGTTTAATGGAACAAAAACACCATAACAGGGGCCATGTACATATATAATCAAAGTAAAGCTGAGATGGAGGAGACCTGGACAAACAGGTACAAAGATAAACTAACAGCAGGACTCAGAAGAGCAGGAGGATGAGGACAGACAGGTGAATAGACAGGCTAACCAAGGGGACAGGCAAACAAAAAGGATATCCACAGTACAGGAACTGTCAGCTCAGATATAAAAATAACATTTAACACAAAACACAACATCCAAAATGAGATCCACAGCACAAGAACTGTCAGCCAGGAAATCAAAATGATGTACAAACATCATACCATGCAACCAATGTTCAAAATGAGATCCACAGCACAGGAACTATCAGCAACACAAAAGGACATTCAATACACACCACAAATACAGTTACAGGGTATGCCTGTACAGTAGTTAATTCAGTTCAATAAGGTAAGTAACATAACACTCCCAGCAACAACGGAGCGCCTGCCAGAGGTATAAATAAGGAGTACAGGTAATCATCGGGATGCACCCCAGCTGTGCGCACCGACAAATGACTCACATTACTGGAATGCAACACAGCTGAGGTGCAGAGCCCGCAGGATCGAGATAGCAGAGGAGAGAAAGGTGGAAGAGAGGCAGGTCACGCCGAGCGGCCCTTACAGTATATTTATCATGGTATGCTGTTGATCTTTCTTGTCCTGCAGTGGGATGGCTTGGGTATGTGAGATGGTTCTAGACATAGGAATGGGTCGATGGGGGGTTGACTGGAGTGATGTGGGGGTGGAGTAAGACACATGACTTGTATTTACAATACAATGTATACAGTTTCTCAGTATTCATGTAAGAAACTAAATAAATAAATAGATGTAAACATGCTGATAACATTAAGGTAATCAAAAATAAATATACCTCCAGTTTGATTAAAGAACAGATTTAAACGCTCAAGCTGAACTTTTGAACCCTTATGGCTTCTTTTGCACTCCTGCTTGTAGCGCTTCAAGTGGTCAGGATGATCTTCGATTACTTTTTTGGCTCAGTCCTGCCTAGGTTCAGGTTTGTTGTTACTGTAACCCAGTGCTGAAACACCAGTCAAACCTGGAATAACTAATTAACTTTGCAGAGTGATTAAAAGACTAATAAATATAGGTTAAAAATTGGTTCATCAAGGGATTATTGAATGGTGTTGGGTGGTGGTGAGAAAACCAGTGCAACTGCAAAAGTGTTTTGTGACGGTGCGAGCAGCCAACCAGCTGAGTTGGTGGGCTCTCTCATCAGCAAGTGGGGTGGTTGTTCCTCCCTTGTTACAAATGGTAATTGTTAATGTTGAATATGTGAAGGTTAATGTTGTATAACTTGAGAAACTAACTTGAAGTGCTCGATAGTAGCTTTTGACTATATACAATTAGTTTATAGTGAAATCAAACTATGGTGTTCTGGCCTTTCCATAGGTCAGGTTTTTTGTCTTAGTTGGATTCAAACGGAGCTACTCTTCAGCAGCTGAGGATTGACACCTCTCCAGTACTGGATGGCGAGCCCGAGCCCAAGGAACTGAACTCAGTGGTAGCTAGTAACTACACTGGTTACAAGACATTGAATTGAACAGGACACTGAACAGACTTAAGACATGAACAGATTTCCACACACTCCATTCATTTATAATATAAAATTCTACTGTTTTACCATAAATTGTGTTGGTTGTTTCACTGTAGTTATTCATCTCTTGGCTCCCACAAATCTGGAAGATTCTGATCAGAGAAATTCCCTCTTGTACTGGTCTTTGTAGTGTGAAAGAAAATCCCCTGTACCATAGTCACTGGTCACAGAAAAGTATTAGACAATTTGTAACACTAGCAAAGAGTGTTACATTACTGTCACAGTAGAACACCACAACTCCATGAGTCTGTGCGGCAGTCACATACTCTGGCAAGGTACGAAGTCCAGAGGATGTAGTGATGAAATACACCAGGAAGTGTATCACTGTAGGACAAACAATGGTTTCAAGTCAAATAACACTTTTAAAACTTATTTTCATAACCAAATGTCAATTCAACATACACCCATACATAGTTTTGTTGGGGAGATAGATTTTTTTGGAAGTCAGAGTAGTGGTTGATAATACTCTAGTTTTGCTTCCTTACCCTGATCACACTATCTGACACACCTGTCCTATTTCCCCTAATCATCACCAGCTGCACCTTATTAGTTTCCTCCCTACTTATACCCTGCTCGCCGTTCACTCCCTTGCTAGTCTATCTTCAGGTCCTTTTGCTCGCTGGTTTTTTTTTCTAGTTTGCCAGTTATATCATCTTTTGAGCTATTGCGTTTTAACCCTTGCTCCTGCGTTCTTTTTGTCTTCGACTACGGACCTCTCCTCTGGACCCTGGGACAACTCAACCCTACCAGTCTCCACCATACAGGTCGATGCACAGTCACCATTAACTATTTATGCATGCTCCTGTCTCCTCAGCAATCATTGCTTCAACCACGACCAGCTCAGGAGTGACCCCAGCGTCCGCAGCCCGATCCATAACCATCCATCTCACCAGTGACTGTTTTTCTCTGCCTCAGATCGACACCCGGTTATTCCTTACCATTCAGCACCTATCTCTTTATTGCACTTTGACTTGCACTGTAAATAAATCTGTCACTACTTGCACCGAAGCCAGCTACCTGGGTCCGTCTTTATTGCTCGTTCATTTCCGTGTCCGAGCTACCTTAACAGGTGTATTGCTTTAAAGCTGTCACTTCTCCCAAGAGCTTTGTGAACGAATAAACAACATTATTATATTGGTTGGTCAACAATACCAACTGAACTTATAAAGTCCAATAGTGAGCAACTCATCAAAGTTAAAATAGTTATTGATAGTATGCTATCAATAAAGCAAGGCGATGCCAATGCATTGTAAGCTTTTGTCTTTTCCCATTAATCCACATGTTTATAGACTTACAGTTGAAAACATGAGAAAGAAACATCTGCAACCAAGGGTGTAGTTTTGCATATGGGCAGTAGGGACATGTCCTTACCAATATTTTGGGAGGACAGAAATGTCCCTACCAATAGTTGAACAAACCTGCACATTATCTTTGGAGTGAACTCCTATAAAATCATTCTGATGTGCCCTCCCTGAGGCTATATCTACAAGATTACATGCTATTGACTGAAAGTGAGTGGGAAATCTGCAAAACACAGCATCTGCAACATTCAGAATTCAACTGTTCCATTACATATTTCCTCTGGAATAGGGTTTATTTTTCACCACTACAGTGTCTAAAGTGAAACTACAATCAAACTAGTCACTTTCAACAACTAACAGTTTAGAATACAGTTTTAAAATTGATCTCACCTGAATGTGTGACAGGAAGGAAGAGGAGCAGAAAAAATTAACTTCGTCTTCATGGTGAGACTTGTCTAGTGACCGCTGCTACAATAAACCGTGGGGAAACCGGGTCACAACCGTCGAGCGGTGTTTGGATATTTTTGTGCGTCTTTGTGTCAAAAATGGTACAAATACAGATAAAATGCACAACGAAGAAAAGTGCAATCAACTGACTTTAACACCTAACTTCACTTAACTAAAATGTAGTAAACAACATAAGAGGTAGTTAGATGACGATATAGGAAGTCTGAAGGAAATATGACACCTGAAGACATAACACAACTAAGAAATAACTCATCCAGAACTTTGTTTCTGTCCTATTCCTCATTCCTGACTCTTGTAAAATCACTTTAGTGGGGTGTTGTTTTCTTTGTAAAGTTGATTCAGTGAAATAATTGTGAACTAAATACATGTAGAAACATCCTGTCAAAGATTTACAACACAACAGTCACAAGAAGTGCAAAGGTCCAACACATTGTCACCAACACTTAGTCGACCTCTTCTTAGGTTCCCCTGTTAGCTGTGTTGTCTCAGAACAGGACAAATGACACCTTTATAATTTTGATTAGTTCAAGCTTTCCATCCATATTTCAGCAGAGTTTTTCTGACCTTACCCTGGACAGAAATCTGATCAGCCAAGATAGATGAAATCTCCTGTGGAGGTACTCAGGGCCATTATAAATCATACATTAAATTTAATACATCCTAGTGTATTACAAACAAACTAGGACTGTAACTCAATCTGCCGACTGACCTACTCTTCACTATGACACATACCCATCTTGATCTGCATGCACTTAATCACATAGTCCAGTTAAAGGGTCTGTATTCACCATAGGATAAAACACATCTTACATATTACACTCAAGAGTGGCCCTGATCAGCTTATAATGGATCACATGCAGTATTATCCTACAAGTGAACAAATAAGCACAAAAACACCTTTTATTAATTTTATAATATATTCATCTATAGACACACATATGGACACAAATTAGACTTTTTTTTGAAAAATAAAAAATCTGATCCTAAAAACAGGAACAGTAATAAAAGCAACAAAATAAGGTGAGCATAACAGCAGCTGAACAGTCTTCTCTGAAAGACAATGCACCATTATTAAAAGAAATCAATATGAAAGCACAGATGTTTAACGTTGTTGCTTCAAACACTTTGGTTCTAATAATAACTGGGAGAGTGCAGCATTTCTGCCACAGCAACAGACTCTCATGAGCACTGTCCAGAGTGCTGTCCCTGGTACCACCAGGAACATGCTGGTGGGTCAGAGTCCCATTCACTGGGACTGACGGCCAAACAGTTTGCTGGAAGTGACGTCACCTCTTTCCTGATCCACCAGAGGCAGCCACCAGCTCTGACAGTTAAAATGGGCTCTATGTCATTTGTATCGACATAGAGCACAAGCCCAGTCGACAGCTTCAGTTCTCTCCAGTTGCTTTTCTGAAGGAGAAAATCCCACCTGGTAAAATGTGGTGATTTTATTGTTTCCTCATTCAGTGAAGTTCAGTCTCCTCTTCTAATGTTTGCTGCTGCTCCCCTGTTGAGACAAATAGTAAATCAATGGTGAAAAATAAAATCTTGCCTGTTGTAGTGAACAGGGTATTAACTGTTCGTCTACAAATGGCAACAAAGAAAGTCCATTTGAAATGTGCAAAGGCGGAATACAGCACTTACTGTTATTAGCTAGATCAACCCTGAAATACAGAAGAGAGATATTAATGTTGCAAAATGATTAACATTTCAGAATTTCATGAAAATACACAACAGAGAATGCACACCATGCTTCACTGTGACTTACCAGGTGTACTACATAAAAGATGCAGGTACACGATACATTATTTTGTAGTACTTCTGGTATTCACTCTAAATTTACCAGTGGAGCAAATCATTGTTCCTCACCATTGTCTCTCCTCCAGATGAAGTATCCAGTGATACAGGCAGCTAAGATCAGCAGCAGAACAACAGCTCCGATGACAGCAGCAGTGGGAAACTCTGAGGGAGGAGCTGGAACCACAACAGAACATTCACACGTTGCAATAACAGACGACGCTGTGCAGATCTGAACCTGTGGTACTGCCTTAGTTCATCTTTATAAACATTTAGGCAGTTAATGCACATCTTGTTAGTGTTTTGTTTTAAATGGAGCTGATTATAGATATAAATTTGTTCAAGTCCAACTGGCATATACGACATTAAAGATGGGTCTTGAAACAAAATTTCCAGGAGGAAAGAACTTTCTTCAGAGTTCAGATACAAAAGCATTTCTTCATAAACAACTACATAGTGGTGCTGGTTGCTTTATTACTGTGAGACTAAATTACTATGCTGGTGTAGCGCCATCTACTGTTGAGAGGCATCAAACAGGGCATCCCAGGGTAAACATCTGCAGCTGTCGTCTAGATTTGGCTGCAGCCGCACAATGTTTTAAAGACCTACAGCTGGTTATATATAAAAGTCACAGCTTGCAATAGTTCACAGCCAGTCATACTGTGAACACATACAGTAGTACAACATATCAGAAACTTTGCTTCAGGTGGTCCCCTGTGACTTCTGGGATAAGACAGACCATAATCCACAACATCTCCAGTCTGACCAGCAAACATTTGCTATTTCTGGCTATCAAATGTCACAAATGTTTTTGTTTGTCAAACATGATAATACACTGAAAGTCTTTGAATTTGGGACCAGTGTTGAGCAAAACAAGATCTCTGAAGACATCACTTTGGTATGGGGGAAATTATTTCTAGCATTTTTCACTAATCCTTCATTCTTCACTAGTTTTTGGCAGGTTCTAAATAAAATAATATAACAAAAAAAAAATCTGCTGATTAATCACCAATGAAAACAATCACTGGTTGAGGTCCTATAACAGACAAACAAAATCATAACAACTCTGACAGAGGAAACAAAATCCCAATTTCCACCACCTCTGATCCCACTCTTACCCCAGTTGGTCCTGATCACTGCTTTGTCCAGTTTGGTGACAACATCGTCCTTCACTCCAGAGAGCTGAAAAACACAGTCGTATCTGCTCCAGTCTTCAGGTGTGATTGATGAAAGATACAGATCAACACTCATCTGGAAGGTCCCGTCGTTGTTGGGGAGGATCTCTCCTTTCTCCACGTCCTCATGAAGCTCCTCTCCATCTTTCCTCCAGAACATGTCGGCTCTGTTTGGGTAGAAACCTGTAGCGTGGCAGCTGACTGGAGAGGAGGGGGTCTTCTGGAGGAGCGACACTGAGGGGAGGACTGGAGGGAGACAGAAACAGTCTTAACTGAGACACATAATAGGCCTAGGATGGGGTACTGTATGTGTGTTGTTCAGTTTTCACTGGAATGTTACTGTGCATTAGAAACAGAAAAGGCAATTTTACAAAAACACATCTGTCCATGTGATCCTACCTGTTTTCTGCAGAAAGCTCTTCCCATAGTGCACATATTTTTTCAGCCAGTCAGGGCATTTGTGGATGTAGTAGTTTCTGTTGTATTCTAATCTTGCTTTTTCTGTATCCCATCTCAGTTTGGTAATGAAGGCCTGTGGCTTTGGAGCTGTCCATGTCAGTGTCTGCAGGTCCAGTGCTATGAAGTCTTCTCCGTTGTAACCGTACTGATTAAAACCAATGACCTCTCCAGTCTCGTCATCCCATTCACAGCCATTCATTCTCTGTAAAATGTGGGTACCTGAGAGAGAGAGAGACGGATACACTGATCCACAGACACAACACAGAGGATCTACACCTTCTGTTGCTGTGGTCTTGATAGAAGCGTCTCACAAGCGATCAGTAGTGGAAAGTAACTAAGTACATTTACTCAAGTACTGTACTTAAGTATCTGTACTTCACTTGAGTTTTTTCATTTTCTGCTACTTCAAACTTCAACTTCACTACATTTCAGAAAAAATATTGTACTCTGTACTCACTGTTTTAACTGGTCTGTCCATCGGTAAATCTTTTCATTAAGCTACTTAGTTAAGTTGTATTTAGTCAGAAAATCTCTTCAAGTGCTCATACTCATGTTACACCAGAGGGAAAAACTGTTTAGCAGTACAAAGTTAAACATGTAGATAAACATGCTGTACCTCCAGTCTGGTTTAGGCGCTCCTTCAAGCTGTCAATGTTGGCTCTGAAGACCTGCTGGTTTCCGAAACATTTTAGAGTATACCACTCCAAGTGTTGTGGGTCATTCTTAATTAACTTTTTCATCCAGTCTTGTTTGGGTTCAGCCGTCTTGATGTTGCTGTCACAGTAACCCACCTGAACTTCATCAACCACCGCAGCGCCCACAAACTCTGGGAAGTCTGGGATCCCAGAGGACGCAGTGAGGAAGTATTTCAGGGAGTGTTTCACTGTGGGACAAAGAAGGTTGTCAGCTTTTGAAAGGCATTTTATACTTCTAGAGGGTTGATTGAATTGAAATCTGCCAAATCACAATAGGTTTCAAAAGAATGTATCATTCCCTTTTTTATTTTTA